GAAAATAATCAATTATAACAGAAAAAAACAGGTCTTCCAAATTCATCTACATTTCCATGCACGATTTTCTGCATTAGCATTAACAAGTGCGTACATATTTTCCTCTATTAATACTGATTCTTTGTTCGCCATGGGACTTTAAGTTAAACCATTCATAGGAATAATATGGGTGATAGAATGAAACTACCAGTTAGTAAACTTGTGTAGCAAAAAGTGCTTTAAATTGCTTGAGTGAAGCACACACATGTACTTAGACTAATATGCACTCAGCATGTCTCCCTCAATTTCATCCCAACGCTTTCAGTTCTTGCTTATCTTTAAATATCCCTTAGCTGCCAACCATCTACAACCGTTACAAATCTCATTAAAAGTTGACTTTATCTTCTACATAATTATACGTGGAATTGCAATGTTGCAACTGTCTGTTGACAACTACGGTAATGGCCTCCGAGGTGATTAAGTTCATAATGTACAGTTGTTTGGATTATTTAGTCGGCACACATCTTCAAAGTGCAATAACTTACGCTCAAGTAAGCACATATGTAGTTTTATTGTTAGAAATACTAAAATCTTCCGTATTGTTTTGTTATTGAGAACGTAGTGGACTCTAAAGAAGGAAATTGTTAAGTGAAGCGTTGAGGGTTGAGGTTTAAAGCCATATTTAGAGCGTATAAGATTTGTTAGTAAAATTAAATTCTCATCTAGACAAATACTATGCACTTAAATAGCGAGTTAATCAAATACCGATGCTATTATAAGCAAGTTTACTTTATAATATGAAATCATATAAGATTATTTCATCAAAAATCATTTAACAGTCAGGGCATATAAAGTAGAAGCTTCCAATTTCACTGTGGTCTCAATTTTATTGCTTTATTGACCGTCTTTTCGAGGCAATTAATTAGGAATTCACATAGTCATGTGATTTATTCAAATGTGTAGACGCAACAAATCGATAGTGTCTGGCAGCAAAAACAAACTTGTCACGATACTCGTACGTATAAAAAATTTACTAAATTATATACCTATATAAATTTATGAGTATAATAAACGACGCTGATTTGATGCTTTTAAGAATAATTGGATTTTTATTGTCATCCTTTGTTTGATGTTTATTTTCACACTGTAGCCATCAGCGCAAATAAGTGTGCATACTGAAGCGTACACACATTTATTGTACATAAGGTCATGTGAAAAGTAATAGAGACATATTGGCATATGTCATACAAATCCAAAGAAAACAAATATCTGCATTAATTTCTGAGTAACCTTTTTATTTTAAAAATACTAATGTGCTTTCTATCAAATAATAAAATAATTGGGTCGAATTCGATTCAGTTTGAAAAGAACAAAAACTCTTTCCAACGCTCATTTCATTTTATGCTGTGAAAACAATTTGGGACATTTACAAACATTGAATTTCTATTTAAAAATTTTTAATTATACTTTTTTATACTCTCGCAACCTGTTGCTACAGAATATAATAGTTTTGTTCACCTAACGGTTGTTTGTATCACCTAAAACTAATCGAGTTAGATATAGGGTTATATATATATAAATGATCAGGATGAAGAGACGAGTTGAAATCCGGGTGACTGTCCGTCCGTCCGTCTGTCTGTCCGTCCGTGCAAGCTGTAACTTGAGTAAAAATTGAGATATCTGTATGAAACTTGTTTCTCGGTACCATGAGACGGTTGGTATTGCAGATGGGCGTAATCGGACCACTGCCACGCCCACAAAACGCCATTAATCAAAAACAAATAAATTACCATAACTAAGCTCCGCAATAAGATACAAGACTGTTATTTGGTACAAAGGATCACATTAGGGAGGGGCATCTGCAGTTAAAATTTTTTTGGGCGTGGTCCCGCCTCTAATAGGTTTAATGTGCATATCTCCTAAACCGCTAATGCTATAATAACAAAATTCACTGGAAGCAAATGTTTTTAGCACTTCTATTGACGGTGTGAAAATAGTTGAAATCGGGTGGCAACTCCGCCCACTCCCCATATAACGGTACTGTTAAAAACTACTAAAAGCGCGATAAATCAAGCACTAAACACGCCAGAGTCATTAAATTTTATCTCTGAGATGGTATAAGATGACTTTATAGGAACCGCGTTCAAAATTAGACAGTGGGCGTGGCACAGCCCACTTTTAGGTGAAAACCCATATCTTGAGATCTGCTTAACCGATTTCAACCAAATTCGTTACGTAACAGTCTGAGTGAAATCGGACTACAACCACGCCAATTTCCCATATAACACCATTTTCAATTCCATCTGATTCTTTCACTTTCCACTATGCATAACAAGCAACAATGATTATATCGGAATAAAACTTTGCGTGAATAATGCGATTAAAGTATGCCACGTTGTGACCAAAAATTATCTAAATCGAACCAAAACTGTTCAAGCCCCTAAGTACTAAATATGTGGACCCCAGTGCCTATAGTTGACCGTCTACCGAAAATATACCGAAAATATAATATATAATAATATTTGGTTGTTTTTCTTTATTATAAAAAGAGAAGGTAGACACAGATTCAACCAATTTATGGCATGTGGCCTGCGGTATCTCATACTTCCTTTACCAGTGACCAGAGGACATTTTAATTAGTTGTTCTTTTTTACCCCTCAAAGCTACTTTCAATTCTCGCCACATATTCTCAGATTAATTTAAATCCGAGGATAGAGCAGGCCAGCTTAAAGTGCTAATGTTGTTATCTGAGAACCATTATTTAGCCGGTTTGATTTGTGATTTGAGTCATTGTCTTGCTGGAACATCCATCGATGCGGAATATTATATTCAGCATAAGTAAACATCACTTCACCTAAAATATTGCAATAAGCAGCTGCTGTATGCTCAATCTGATATGGCCGATTTATACCATGGTAAGAAAAGCATCCCCAAACAATTATGTATTCTCCTCCATGTTTAATAGTTTTAACTTTGTTTTGTGTTTTGAAAGCGGTGTCCATTGGTTTTCAGACATGTTGGTCACGACAGTCTAAAATACCTATATTACATTTAAACACATCTGACTATAATATCCTATACCCACCATTTCTTCACTGGTCAGTTGGCATGCTCTTGAGCATATCCAGGTATATATATGTAACTATATACATATGTATATATTATATTATATTGTAAAAAAGAAAATTCTTTTTTTTTTTGGTTTAAACTCTTCACATTTATATATAAATTACCGAATTTGACGGTTTTTGACTCAAAATTTATTTTAACGCTTAAGGAAAGCATCTTGTCGTTTAATGTAATACTTTTTTTTAAAACTACAATAATGACCACACAAAATTTGTTATGTTGATAACTTTTAATTGGCCAGAAAGAGGACTCTCCGCAGCTTCTAGAACACTTATAAAAAATTTCTAGCGAAATAAAAGTTTTAACTCGAAACATTAAATGTTATACAACTTTTTTTTTCAAAAATCTTCTTTTTTCTCCACCCTATATACTTGTATAAGAATGTCGACATATAAGCACGTTCTAGGAAAAGAATGAAAAATGTGATATCTTGAGTTTCATAAATTTTTGAAGACGAATTTCATCGTTTCTGTTTTCGCTTTTCTTTTTGGTTTTACTGTTGATTTGTATGTTGAAGTTACTCGTTGACAATTTACTGCAACAACTTTAAACTTGCAGCTGACTAGTGTTCAAATAGTGGCTGGTGCAATACTTCGTCGTGAGTGATTTCTCTGTTTATGCGCTTTTTTCAATCACTTCCATACAAGAGAACAATATTTTTGAATTTTGTTTATAAATGTATATAATTTTCATTATCATTCAAATGCATTGTACATATATGTATTTGAACAATTAATGCTTTTCCGAACCGATTTCTATGCGATTCGCTCAAAGTTCGCCAATGAGGAGAAGTCTACCATTAGACTCATGAATCTATTTATTAAATCTAATTATTTTAAAAGTTTTGGTATTATTTCCAGTTTGATTGGCACTACTTTTATATTTAGATATACTGGTGAAGATGTAAGCTTTCCCTAAACAACATTTATACACATTTAAAAAGAAATTATTTATTAAATAATTAATAAAATTCGAAGAAATAAAGTATAAATTGCGACCGCAATCTGAAAAGAACATGCAATTTTTTCACTAAACTTGCGGAAGCTCGAAATAATCATGAAAACAAAAATCGTGAAAAGAGAAAAATGAACAAAGAAGCGGAAAAAGGATTGAAAATATAACTAACAGCCGGCGAAGTGCATAAATTATTAATGAATGGCGAAGGAAAATGAGTGAAGTCATGTAAACATTAAAGGACATGAGAACGGAAGGTGAATGAATCAAGGCGAATGTGTTTAAGGCAACTAATCGAGATTTGGTGTGGTGCGATTTGTGAAATCATGCATGCTTTCACACACTGTTGACTGAGCATTCGAGTGTAAATATTTTTCATGACTTAAAGAATGAAAATTGGTCAATTGTTGCTGTGTGTTGTTGCAAATAATGATATTATTCTTCGCAGGCGTAAATAAAATATATAAGATAAGAAGCATGGTCGTTTGTGGTACGATGATTTCAGCTATATTTTTATATAAAAAATCAAGTATCGATTAACAGAATTTCTTATACGATATTTAAAACCCATAGAACTCTCCTTATAAAAATATATTTCTAAAAATTTCTTAGTTCTAACGCTGAGAAGCTCATATGGAATGTCCAAACAAAACTTTCGATTCCAAAATAAGTTTGAAATTGGAAAAATCTTAATTGATTGTATATTATTATTTTTGCTTAACGTATTTCGAAATGCTTATTTACGCTTAATTTGTTTTTCTTGTTGGTGCAATGAACTAATTTAATACCCAACAAAAATTAAATACATTAAACACTCAAGTTTGCACAACACTCAAAGCAAAACAGAAGCAATTAAAATTAAAAATACTTAAAGGCCAATGATACAATTTGAAAAAAAAGAAGAGCGAGAAAATTATTTAAAATATTTTATTACATACCACCGGCTTGTCCGCGTCACTTCGCTTGAAATGAGCAGCTGCAAACAATTTCTCAATTGTGTACCTAAAAATAAGGACAAAGGAGAAGTATTACTTTATTGAGATCACAAACTTTTTGGGTATTTGCTAGACTTTCTAAAATGCAATTGTTTTTGTTTTGTTGAAAAATACTTTATGAAGTGCTTAAAATATTGTTGTTTTAGTGTATTTGTTATATTTTGGTAGTTTAGTCGTGATTAATTATTAATAAAGCGACAATCAATTGGAGCTTTTAACGGCAAAATAAATCTGTATAAAACCGAAAAGATTTAACGGCATCAAAATCTGACACAAAAACCGTTTCGCATTAAGCTCCAGAATATGATTGATTACAGAAAAAATACGATTATAATTTGTTAATGAAAAAAATTGCGAACTATAAAGAAATCAGGAACGTACTTGGATTATAAAGCTTAATGCAAACAAGTAAGGAAGGGTTAAGTTCGGGTGTATCCGGACATTTTATACACTTGCAACTTGCAAGATTAAAATCTCGGAACATTCCTTCAAGTGTTGGTAAAACTTTATATTAAACAAGTAAGAAAGAGCTTAGTTCGGGAAATACCTTTAGGTGCATAATGTTTCTTAGAACAACGTGGGCATGGCAGTGCTGCGATTACGTCCAACTACGAACTCGCTCTGACTTTTTTGCCAAAAAATACGTGTACCAAGTTTCATTAGGATATCGCAATTTTGACTGCTTGCAGCTTGCACGGACTGACAGGCATTCGCATCACAACTCGTCTCGTCATTTTCATTATTTAAGTATATACATATATATATAATTACTTATCTATCTCGATTAGTTTTAAGTGATACAAACAACTGTTAGGTGAACTAAGCTACTGTGTTGCAAGAATATAAAAACCACTAACCAAATTCTCTTTTCATAAAAAAGATATCTAATTTTGCAACAAAAAATCTTTTCTGACTTTTTATATAATAAAACAATTTTAAAAATCTATATGCTCAAAAGGAACTAAAATGGTTTTTCTTACTGTATGAATATTTGTTTGTATAGGTATATTATATTTATTGTCTTAATAGTTGTTTTATCATTGTCACAAAATAACATATTTATTTAAAAAAAATTAAATCGCTAAAAATTTATTAATTACACAAAAAATTTTAATGCACATATACACACACACACATATTTATTTCGCAAGCGATTGAACCACAAATTTTTAAATCGCTTTGTTTGAGCACACACATTTAGTGTTATTAATTAGCAAACCGCACTCACTTTCGCCATGATTAAAGAACGAAAACTTTTAAAAATTTAATTGCTTTTAGCTAATTTGCTACTTTGTAATAAAATAAATATTTATTAATTCATTGTTGCTGTGGAAACGAAAAACTTATAAAAGAGAAATGTGAAAGTATTAAAAATTAAAATTCAACACGCATTAAATGGCAACTTTGCATATCTATATATATAACTTGTATAATTTTGCATTTCCTAAAGTATTTTACGACAATATAACAGCAATGGAACTGTATTAAATAACAAATGTACAGGAAATGTCAGCATTAACCTTGACATTGGTGATCAATTCACACGGCTACGCACACACAAGAGTCTTCTGTGGCATGCCATATACTATTATTTAAGTAATATTTCTCTGTTTTGCTTGCAACACCAACTCAAGTGAATTCTCGTATATATATGTCCCGTGTTAAGCCGTAAACACTTTATTTCTTTTAAAATAATATGGAATTTCTTTATAACTTTATTTATTTTTCTTAACGGTTATTTTATTTATTATAATAACTAAATAATTTAATTTAATAAATAAATAATTTATTTTATTTCTTCATGCCATATTAGTTGCTTATTATTTTCACAATAAATTTTGGCAAGTATTTTGTTGACCATTGCATTTCACCTCCAATCTGGGTGTAAATAGATACAAATAAATAGTTGCACTGTTTGGTGGGCCCATTTTTAACACTTCGTATAACGGTAAATTGCTGTTTCAGCTCTGCATATTTAAACATACTATTTTTTTGTCGCATGTCTTTGTAGTTTGTTGTTGTTGTCTTTTAAAAACTCAAACGAATGGTTTGAATAGCTGTAAGGTTTATGGGTGACAGGGCGTATACATAACAAGTTGAGAATCTAAACAAGCCTAGCTGGCAGTTGCAGGTCTTTATACGAAAGTGTTGTCGAAAATTTGCATTTTTTGAATTTAAATGCATTATGCGCGTTTTAGTTACTTTATATAATATATTTGTGGCGAAAACTGGGTTTATTCAAAGCGAAAGCTCCTATGATTTAATTCATTAACTACTTCTTCAAGTGAAATACCAGATAAACCGATATTCACATAAGCCTATAAATTTTTAAACGGTGTTTAAGCTTATATTACACAAACAATGCTTGTCACAGCTTGAGCTATTTACTCGTATAAGATTGAAACGAGAACCTGCCACGAAATAATGTGTTTGCTACGTCATATTTAAGTTTTCATTGCCTATATAAAGTACCCACAGCAAATGCTATCTACAAAAATTTGCAATGCTTGAAATAATTTAAAGTATTTCTCTTATATAACCTTTGGATTTTAGCAATTGAAACATTTCTTTTTTATCCAACACAATATTTCTCTTGTTTTAATTAATTTTGACGTCACAATTAATAAAAATTAATTCGTTCACTGAACTTTCTTTGGGAACTTCCTTCAAATATTTATTTTTTATTTAATTGTAATGCAAAAACTTTTTTTTGAAAATTAATTGCAGGAAAATATCCAGAAAAAGGACATACTGCACCACATTTTACCATCAAAACAATATTCCCAACTTTCTAAGAAAGAGAGCACTCTTTTAACAAAAGTATGTCAAATAATTTTAACTTTTTCCTCTTTTTCAAAGGAGACGTAAAATAGCGCAACATTACGGTCAGTAATTGGGAATGGAAGCAATTAGTTTTAAACCTTATGCCATAATTTTTTTTTTTGTACAATGATTTGTTTGTGTTTCAGGCATTATCAGATTCTGTGAAATCAGATATCATTTAAGAGGTAATGTTTAGAGGACAGCACGAGAGATAATTTCACCTGTAACCTGTTTATTTTTGTGGAATATCTATAGCTTCTACAATAGCACTTTGCTTGACGCTGACATTTTAAGGATAACAAAACTCCGCCCTCAAATTCGAAATTTTTTCTGTTCCGCCTTTGCACGCACTTTTTGTAAAATCTGCGGCATTCCAATTTTTCATAATACTGCCAAAGTCATGCAGCTGTATATCAAGTGGCTGACAGCTGTGCTTCTGGTAGACTCCTCTCCCAATGTTCAGCTTATTTCATTTGAATTCACATTCGTCGAAAAAGTGAAAAGAGTAACAATAAAAAAATACCACAAATGTGCTAATCGCACGATTTTCCAGCAGACAATCGGGGGATCCAGGTCTCCACACCTCTTGCGTTGTCTGTCTGTGTCTTGCATAAATGAATATGTTATCGAGTGCACTCATTTTTTTCCACCGGTTCCAGACGGTATAGATATTAAGATCATATGGTGCTCCGCCAAACAAAATGGTATTTGATTCGATGCTCTTTTTTGCCAAAGAGATAAGACGAAGTGCTTACGCAGCATTGTGGAACTGTGTGATACGAGGGTTACCTTATATACAACAAATGCTAATCATCGAAAATCTCTTTATTTTATTTTTTAATATTCTCCATTTAGATCTATACACTTTTGCATGCCAATTGCCGAAGAACTTTGGCCACTCTGATTGTGGTGTCTCCAAAACCTGCCTTCTGAACGCATCAAATGCCTCTTCAGGTGTCGAAAAACGTTGCCCTTTTAGTTTATCTTTTACGTACGGGAATGATGCCCATTCAGGACTATACGGCAGATGACTCATAAAATCGACGTTTCGAGTGCTCAAAAATTTAGTTTTTTCAGTCAATGTATGAGAGCTCGCATTGTTGTGGTGAAGAGTGATTCGTCTTCGGCGGTAACTTTTTTGAAAGAAAGATTTTTTAAAGACAATTGGCAAATCAATGGTGATGTACAACTCAAAATTTACTGTTTTGCGTTAGTCTAGTGGTTTGTTCCGACCTGTCCAGTTTTTCAAAAAAAACCAGCCCGTTTGCGTGGGAGTGCTTCGTGTGCGAACAACTTTTATTGGATTCGGCTCATCGTGAAACACCTATATAGTCGACTGCTGTATTCTTTTAGGCTCATACACGTAAATCCACGATTTATCACTTGTCACGATGCCATAGAAGCGTTTCGAAGCAACGGTATCGTATTGTTTAATATTTCTCTCGACCGACTGACACAAGCCTTTTTTTGAGCGATTGACAAATTCTGTCGGATTCAAAGTGATCGATTGAAATCTTCATACCATAGATAAAAGCTTGTATTTGATGGAGCTTCATGGCCAAGAGCTGAATCAAGTTCATCGATGCACTGTTGCTGAGTTAATCCACGTCGAAAATTTCAAAAAATAATCGCGTTTAAATGTTTGGGTCTTAATTCTATTTTTTGGTCGAAATGAATATTTTAAGTTACTGTAAGCAACACAAATAGCGCTCGTTTGTCTAAACGTTCTGAGTATGCATCACATCAAAAAATGCAAACTTTCCAATAAAGTTGTGAATTGCTCAATGGCAACACTAGGGTTGCCAAATCGCGAAATATAAAAGACAACCTACGTAAACATGCACATTAAAAATGTTATCGAATTCCAGTTGAATGAGCACACAAAGCGAGAGTGTCGGAAAGTCTAATTAATTCCAAGCATTTGGTGCCTGTTGGCAATTTCATGGCACGCCCACTTGACTTAAGCGATAGCAGTTGTAGCTGTAGTCACATAAATTTGAGCACCGTACACTGCGTATAGCTTGTTAGACTATATATTTCAGGGAATTTCAGTTAGGCACACAAGCTCACACAATGTCCCGCAGCCTCATAAATAACAGTTTTCGCGTTTGATAGTTATTCTTGGTATTGCTGTTATTGTAGTTGTTTGTTGTTGTCCATGCTATTGTACAAGTTTTTGTTGGGTGCCTGGTTTGCATGCTTTTGACCAAAATTACCAAAAGCTTAAGTGATTTACACTTATTTGCTTGGTTCTCATTCAAAAACACATTTTAACTTGCATCTTTGTCTGTCCTTGATTCAATGGTATTTATACAATGGTGGTTTACCTTGAGATTATTTACCCGCAGAGGAAAACTTCATAGAAAAGCCGAAGGGCAATTACATTACGATTTCTTTTGGCTTACGAGGTTTTTAATTCAATTCGAAAAGCCACCTCTCTGATTTTCTTTACTTTTTTTCTACATTCCTCATAACATCATTGGGTATTGGTTGGGATTGTGTATCGAATAATAAAATTCGGTTGCTGGCCAGAAGGGAGTACTAAAGTATAATAAGCACTTGAGAGAGTGAATAGGTGAGTGAGTAAACCAATTCACACTTTAAATGTAAATAGCAATTCTAAGGCTGATTTGAGAATTTATTCTGACAGTAAAGAAATATACGATTTCCCTACGATTATTTCTCTTTTTCACAGGTGTTTTTTAAACATGTGTTATATCAAATATATTATACATATAAATTTGCCGACCTATATAATTACATTCCATCAATTTTACTCTCCGCAAGAAATTGAGGGTTAGGCTTGAAACGACGAATGTAAATTGGCAAAAACTTCTATTTCTCTTAAAACAAGAATGTCAAAATGCATTCGCGTTAGGCGTCACTAATCGGCAATACTTAATTACACAACAGTTGTTATTTAGATAAAAGAATTATATTCTTTCACTTGAATGCTACAGGTATTTATGCATATACGTATGTGTAAGCTTATCAGAAACTTTCTCTAACTGCTTGACTCACACAATTTAGTTAATAAATACATACATATGTGGCAGATCGAGAATTATGACCACAGACAGTGGCTCACTCAAATATATGCTGCGCCTAATTGCACACTACGCTTGGTTAATGTAATCCACGACATAACTTTAGCCATAATCATTACTCTTTCACTTGCAACCATACATTCTCCTAGTTATTTACTTATTGTTGTGGTCAAACTTAATTAATTTCTCTGAAATAGATTTTTATGTGAATATGTGTGTGAAGTCATATAGAAGGAAACGAGATGCTGAAGAAATAAAATTAGCACTCGCAGCTTAACGGTTAATAGCAATGCTTTACTACTCAAGAAGGCCATTTCTTGTACTCGTATATAGCTATCATACATAATATAAATTCGCTGTATGTTATGTAAGCAATAAATGCGGTCAATACCCGAAGGTCTGCTCCAATCGGATTATCCCACATACTCAGAGTGACTTTTCTTTGTTATTGTATAGCATAAGTAAATAAAAGCATGAGTAAGCAGAAGCAGAGTATTTCATAATTCTTATGTTCTGTTGAGCATTAATTTCTAAATATCATTCTAGGGAGTGGACTAGCATTTAGTTAATTTCAGTTTCATTATTCAATAATCTCTTTAACCCTTTCTTACAAACTCACTTTTTAAGTGCAATGAGTAATCAACTAGTTCTTGTGTCTAAGTACAGCTAGTCCTTATTAGGAGTTTAAATAAAGAAACAGAAAAACATAGTTTTTTCTATAACGTATTCGTTGAAGTATATACAATTCCATATAAGAAAATAATCGCATGCGAAAATTTTGTGGCATTAAAATTTCATTTGCATATATAATATAACAAGAAGCAATAAAGCAAAAATTTTAGCACTTTTGTTTGAAAAAAATATTAATTATATTTTCCTTAGATATTTAAGAAAAGTGGCAATAAGATATTTATATAATTTATTATAAAATTATTTTATGTTTTTGAGCTAATGTTTGGAGAACTTATTTAATTAAATTTTTCTACAGCTGAACATAATGCTAAAGCTTATATCGTCTACCAACATTTGTGTGCCATACACGCTCAACTCAGACATACACACATAGCAACAGCTAGGTTAAGCTTTAATTAAATTGTTGCGAAAAACCAGCTTGGCAAGGACTTATTTTCTTTTTCCTTTCCATTTTGATTGTTTTGTATGCACATTACATGCACACATACATAGATGGCATGAAAAAGCGTTTGGTGGTACTGACGAAGTGAATGATGTTTTAGTTAAACCCTAATGATCCATGTAGACTCTTTTTTGTTATTAAGAGAATATAATTTATTCTGTTTTCTATTAATTTCTTTTTTTCATTTTTTGGTATTACACCGATTATCTTTTTTATACTTCATTTAATAAATGACTCAATTAAGAATGTAGTTTGTCTATTTTTAGGAGCTTAATTCGCAATAGGTGTCATAGAGATACCAAAAAAAATTTTTTTTTGTTTATTCTAAATTCTATTTAAACATAAAACAATTGATGTTAAGGGTTAATTGCATATCTGAATAACCACACTGATTATCCACTGGATAGCATGAATTTACGATTTTTGCAGGCTTGAATTTTCTATTCCACCATCCCTGAGCTGGGTGATTTCAATTTTTAGAGAAACATTCCTCGAATTGTTCACATGACATTGATTGATAACGCACGTTTTGATGGATAGTACTTTTCTAGGAAAAGGTAAACACAATGAAAGCGATCAGTTTCATTCATTCATTCAGTTTTTTTCTGTTTCAGAACACATTTCTTGCGCATCCATTTATTTTGCGTTTCATGTTGTCTTTCGTTATCTTTTCTTATATTTTATTGGCAATTATTTTTAATACGCAATCTGGTAATGGAGTAAATGCCCATCTAGGCATCATTTTGTTGTTTTGAAACTTACGTTTGAAAAAAACTTTTTTTTTATTATTTTGGTGATTGTTTTAAATAAAAATATGATATTAAACTCACCTTTCAGCAATTAATAACCATTAAGTCACGTCTTTCGGAATGTGAGACTGAAGCTGGAAAATATTTGAAAACTGTTTAAAATTCACTTTTTCATGTTTTAAACAATTCTGTATGGAATTTCCAATTGTTTATATGATCCACAGCTCACAGCTATTTGTTGTTAGTATTCATATTTTAATAATAAATAATATGGAACACCAACGGCAGGTTGGCAAACATGACATACAAATCCCAAAAATAACTAAATTTTTCTTCAGATTCACATGCAGTCGCTAACCTGTTTATAAATTAAAATTTTTACAACTTTTGACTTGAATTTTTCTGAATTTCAGCGCAACAATTAAAACGAAAATATGTCTTTTGGTAAATTCACATAAGATCGCTAAGGACACGGTCAATTTGAAATTGTCGTACGAATGAGTAAAGTCCGGCCGAGTAATTCAAGTGGAAGTCCTCTGCTTCTTCTTCTTATAACACATCTGTATTTATTGCATGTGAAATGTTTTCCGTTTGACAGCTCTGCCAACGACCGGCTACAGAATCAGACTATAAGCAAATAAGCCAAACGAATGACGAATGCAGTTTATACAAACGCTACACAACGACGACAGTTGTTGTCGCTGCCGCTGCCGCTGTCTCTGCTACTGTCGCTGCCGCTGTTACTACTTCTGCCTCTGTAGGTCGTATGCAGCAACGGTATCAGGATGGACGGCAACGCAGACGTTGACGCGCAAATTCGGTTTAGTTCAGAAGAGCACAATGCGGCGGCCGGCAAAAAGATAAACAAACCATTTTTTGTATTAATTTTTGTTTCGTGTTGTACTTATAGCCATTCTTGCTACTTGTGCTCCTATCGCCTAAGTTCACCTGACAACCACAGCCTTGCCATACTCAGTTTCTAGCGCCGTTGTAACTCTTAGCTACTAGATAAACAACATCGGGAGAAGCTAAGAGAAATTCGTGAGTGAACAAAAGAGCGCGCGCGACGAAACAAACTGGCAACAAGTTCTACAGTGCGCTCATTCGCGGCGAACTCGTTACATAGTTGAGCTGTGTGGGGAAGGTCATAGTTGTTAGAATTTCAATTTCTTTTCTCTTTTGCTTTTGTTTACTTTCCGTTTGCATAGCTTCCTAGTTTGTGTCTGGTAGTGCATAGTGATCCTTTGGGAGTATTGTATTAGGCATGAAACACAATGAAGCCGGCAGACGACAGGCAGCATCTGTCGAATATTAAAATACACACGTTATTATGGGCACAGTTATTTTGACAACAGCACGACTTCACACAACCAAAATATCTAAATTTCACTTCAGTCGTTTGATCTGTCGCTGCCGTCTTCAAAATGTTCAAGAAGCTGGCCTCAAGACGCCATTTGCAAACAAGAACATTTCGCTGTCGTGCGATTGTGTTTACAGCTTTAGACTTGCTTTTTGCGTTATCAGCCCTACCGCAAAAACGTGCCGGTTCCTCCCTCACCACGCACCGCTGGCGTTCGACACAGTTGCTACACTTATCGTTTGCCTTGAATGAATGCCGCTCGCTGCTTCCAATGGCTGGAAAATGGCTATTTGACAATAACTTAAAAAGTTTATGCTTTTCACTACATCATGCCCCGCTATCTGCTGACCGAAGAATTTATCTTTTTACGTCAGACTTCTCGGTGGGTATCCCGCCGTGTTGCTGAAACAATTCCAAGCAAAAGGACTTATTGTGAACACGCCCTTGAATTTTTGTACTCTTGCAACATGTTGTTACATAGTATAATAGTTTTGTTCACCTAACGGTTGTTTGTATCCGGCTGTAACTTATGTAAAAAAAGTAGTACACGTGTTCCTTGGCAAAAAAGTAAGAGCCAGTTCATAGATGAGCGTAATCGGACCACTGCCACTAAAACTAAAATGACAGAACTAAGCACTATATTATACTGAATATGGGCGTGGCATCGCCCACTTTAAAAAGAAAGTCTATATATCGGGACTTACTCTACCGATTTCAACCATATTCGGCGAGTAATATAACCTTGACATTCCTACATTACAGTGTGAAAATAGGCGAAATCAGAAAAAATCCACGTCGACTTCCCATATAACACAATCTAAAATTCTATCTGATTTTTTCACTTTCCAGTGTACAAATCAAGAACCTATCAATGTATCCAGATTAAACTATGCACAAATAGTACCCTTAAGGAATTTCAAAATTTGTCAAAATCAGACCATAAATTTTGAAACACCTAAACACCAAATATGTGCTAACTTTTTGCCGAAATTATACATTATTGAAATTCGGGAAAATATTACTTTGATAATAATATACCTTTGCGCCAAAAATGTGATGAATCTGGTCAGTAATTCCCTTAGCCCCCTTATACCTAATATAAAGATTTTCAAACTTCCAAGCCATTTTATACCACTTATACATATATATCGGTCAATGTGAGAGTTGTGTTAATGAAACTGAGAGAGCGTATTTTTCAAATAACAGTGTATCTTCGTACCTAAAATGGATAAAATTGGGCTGAATCTTGCCTTAGCACCCATATAACTAATATTAACGATTTGGAAACGTCTGCCTAATATTACTCCATATATATGTTTATATTTATATATTTATAAAGTTGCTTGAAAATATGTTCTCAAGTATACCTGAGCAATGTCGAGAATTAACGTAAACAGCTTTTCCTTTTCTATGCCCACAATGATTTTAGTATAATTTACGCTGACTTGAATGAAAATATAGCAATAAACTAAAATTTTAATGATAAGTTAATATGATACCAAATTTGATTGTAATCCCCTCACAATTTCGTCTAATATTCAAGTTGAACCCGTTCGCTACATTTTATCATATTACCAACACCTGTATGTATTTAGCCGGCTTTAACCTTTGGAATTTGCAAGAGTATGAAATGTTCGATTACACCCGAACTTAGCACTTCCTTACTTGTTTGTATGTGTACTTCTGTTTTAAGGTAATGCCTTCTTCCAAAGTTATGGGCACTTAAACTGATTGCATGAAAGAACCTTTGGTGATAATGATAGAAGCTAACATAAAATAATATCAACTATTCGAGTGTGGCTTAGCTATTTGAATTATTTATGATTATTTTGAATTAATTACGAAAAATCAACCGTATTAAACAAATGTAAATATATTGCTTTGAAGTCAGTACGAACTCGGAAATCCAAACGGTTTCAGCTTGCCACGTCACGTGCCATTACGCTACCGTAAATCTCCCAACTTAGACGAAGAATATTGTACGTGACGGTGCACTTAAATTTCAGCCTAAGTATTTTGTATTTGAAAGAAAGTACAAGCGGAAGAATATTTATTCTGAATAGTCGTAAATTATCCAAATACATCAATTTGCTGTACTTTTTTTTAGTATTTCCTTTGGAAAATTTTGTGCATTACATCAAATTAATGTTTTATCTCCACTTGATGGCAGTTTGTCTAATATCTCGATCTGTGCGCTTTTCTATACAAGAGAAAATTATGAAAAGTCGATTCCACTTAAGGGGTTAGGTGGGTTTCAGCAGTTAAAAAAAGATATAATTTTTACTATTTTTTTAACCGATTCAGCATATTAAATTTCCAAAATGATTTTCTCGACAGTTTGATAATGGCACAGACATTGAAAGATATGTTTGACAACTTAATTGATTGCTTTCGGCGAATTTTCATTTTTTAATGGAAATGGAGGTAAGTTAAATTGAACATTGAACGAGATAGTCTCTGATAGCTCATTTTAAACAGCTACAAAAACCAAAGCAGAGAGTTACAGTATTTTTAAGTGATAAGGGAAGCGGATTGGTTCTTACGAGTAAATTGTTAAAATTTAATCGAACATATGAATAATAGGTGATGGATAAAACTGTGACGTCTTCTGTGATGAAAGAATAAATAAAGTAACCAGATAGTCTACATCGCCACTTACGATATTTTTGGGAATACCAAATATGTTATGCTATAAATAAAGGTTTATTCTCATACTAGATTTCATAATCATAGCTTTATCTTAAACAATTTATTTATTCTTTCTTACTTTAATTAGTCATTTAATTCTAATTTCATATTTCACTTTTACAGACAGACAACTAAATTAACAGTCGATGACTTAGCGATCAGTCGCTTCAATTTCTTCAAATAAATTGCTAAAGCACGTTTGAAACCTTCCACTTCTAAAATCTGCATTATAGCAGGTTTTCTTTCATTATATCTTAATAGTTTGAGTCCTTATAAATGAGTCCTTATAAATTTCAGATATCCGAACTAAGGCCAATATTCATAAATGCGTAATCGAGGTGAGTCTTTCAAATAACTAAGGTAGTAGAGGCATATAATAAATACCACATTTTAATTTCAACCAACCATCTATTTTCAATAAAGAAGGAAATTTGTCTATTACCTGAATGAGCTTCGCCTTTTCTCAGCAAGACGCCCATAAATCGTCTTAATTCTCCGTCAAAAAATCGTATATTTGTCAGAAGTTCTCAGCAAGGCATCTTCAAACTAACTATGAATATTTGATTGAGTTGATCGCAAACTGATGCCTTCACGCAGGGTACGTAATTAAAAAATCTGCCCAAATTATGATTTATGAGTCGTCATAAATGAAAATATTTTGCAGGTTTGAAAATTTTATTGAATGATTTACCTACCTTAGAAAGGAAAGCACTCGCGTTAATTTCTCAGTAATTTAGTGAGAAGTGAATATAAACTGAACTGATGTCTAGATATGACTCAGTTATAATAGAATGCAGTCTCATATTCCACTGTATTTTTTTTTGTTTTTACTTTGCAACAAGCATTGCGGTCGTTATATTTAATTTTGCAGCAAAAGTTTGTGTTTGCTCTTGGAAATGCCCTTTATAATTGGCAATGACTTTTTAAGTATCAATTCAAATATGATGATGTTTTCTTATTTGTGGTCCGTAATTAGGATGATGCATCGAAATGCGAAAATATGTAAATATGTATTAGTGCATAAACAATGGGATTGATCGTCCAACGGTAATGCTGGTTCGTTTACATTTATTATTTTGCTTTTATGTCATGTGGTAATTTCACCTTGTCTACACTACTTCTTCCTACACTACTACTACTGGTGCTATGTAATTTGGTCATTATGCCGCAAGAAAAACAAC